GGGGGGGGGTGCATAGCTTTAAAAGAGGGATGGGAATATAGTTCAGTGGTCATGTACTTGCCTACCATGCATGAGGCCCTAGATTCAACCCCCCCGTGCTACAAAAATAAAAATAAAGAAAGAAAATTAAAAATTAAACTCTCTTAAAGCATTCTCAGTTATTGGGTTCCTTGAAATTGTTTACTAGAAGAAAAGAAAAACAGGGGCTGAGGCTGTAGCTCAGTGGCAGAGCGCTTGTCTTGCATGCGTGAGACCCTGGGTTCAATTCCCAGCACCACATAAAAATAAACAAATAAAGATATTGTGTACATCTACAACTAAAAAATATATTTAAAAAAAGAAAGAAAAGAAAAATAGGACCTCTGGCAGAGTACACAATTCAAAAACTATTAAACAGGGACTTCAACTTAATTAAGTTCAGGTTATACATTACTATTTCTATAATGCATTTAACTTTTGTCCCAAAGTATAGCCAGTCATGTTTTTAAATAAAATTAAAAATTCAAATAACTGAGAGCCAAGTAATTAACCATGACTTTCAAAACAATTGTTATTCTACATCTGACTTTTTGGATACTCATTTATGTCTAAAGAACACAAGCTGATACCTGGGGGAATGATTATAAAGAAAGTCTCCATGGAGCACTCTAGAATTCACAATCCTCAGCAGATCTCTCCTTCCATCCTCCATTCTCTTGGTATAACTAAAACCTAACTGTCCCTTAAAGACACACTAGYCCTACAACCCTTTTAATTAATAATTTATTCTCCCACCATCCTTGTACCACAGATTCTGCCTCATACAGATTAGACCATTCCCTCCATAAGCTCCACAAGCTGTGAGTCTCATATCTTCAGCTATCACTCATTTTTGTCAGGTTGTGTCCTCTAATTTTTAATGATTTCAGCTCCTGGCTCTTAAAGTTTAATACAAGACAAGTACTCCTGTCTTCATTTCAACATCCTTAACCTCCCCTCTTCTGATAAGCTAGCCCTCCCTCCTTATATTAGTCTCTCTTGTCCATGGTCATTATCTCTTATCACAACTCTTCCATCAATTATTTCATGCATTCTACTTGGTGACACAGCCTCCTATCCTTTCAGCTCATCCCCTGGTATTCTCAATCCATCAAGACTACTACTCTCTGATCCTCACACTTTTCACCCATCCTTGGCCTCCACCAAACCCCACCAATACATACTCTTCGCTTTTTTAACCAAGATTCAATTCTGTGATCAGCCATTACAATCCCTGCCTACATCCACAGCCCTTCCCTTCCCTCTTACTCATTTTGACTCATTCATTTGGTGAGGCAAAATCTACCCCTCATTAAATCAAGCTTTCTGACAATTCACCAAGGGCATCAGGCAGCTGAACATGGCTGGAAATAAATATACAACCATGCTAATGTTTTCATTTGATATTCAAAACCAAAAATTCAGATCTATGTTTAAAGATATATAAAGATATTATATACTGTATTTTTCTAGTCCATTTGCCCTCCTCCCCTCTTAGGATGCAATTCACATTTTCCTCTATCAAATTTCCAACACCTTCTCTGTTACTCTCATTTTCAACTGACATCACTTCCTAACTTCTCAGTGAAAAATGAAGCCATCAGAAGAGAACTTTTGTGAACTGCCAGAACTCTAGACCCATACGCCTGCTTGACATCTCCTCTCAGATGTCTGACATTCAAATTAACAGGTTCAAAATGGATTCTCACTGGTTTACAGGAAGACAGATGTACTCTTCCCTATTTCTCCCACTAAGAATCACTAAAACCTTTGAACATTATATACATATAATGTAATAAGACTCTGAAAGGTGGAAAGAACAAGGCAGGATAGTTACAAGACTCAGAACCTAAGAAATGACATGGTAGTGACTTCCCTGGTACTATAGCTTGGATCTGTAATGTTCCCCAAAAGTCCATATGTTAAAGGCTTGGTGCCCAGCTTGGCAGTATTGAGAGGTGGTAGAAACTTTAAGACACAGGACCTAATGGGACGTCAGATCACTGGGAGCTCCCTTGAAGGGGTTCATGGATGCCAAGCTCTTCCCTTCTCCCCAGTCCTTACCTCCTCAGCTTTGCTCCCCAGCCATGAGGTATACAGTTTTGCTTTACTATGAGCTCCTGCCATGATGTGCCACAACAGAGCCAAAACAATGGGGCCAACCAATCATGAACTGAAACTTCTAGAACTGTGACCCAAAGTAAATCTTTTCTTTTTATAAGCTCAACATCTCCTATTTGTTAGAGTGATGAAAAAGTTGACTCACAGTCCTGA